TCACATAGAATACATGCCTTTGGTCTGTAGCCAAACTTGGTTTCAATAATGTCAACGGAGGACCCACATCCATCAAACATACTTAGGATGGCATACGGGCCTTTTTGTGTCACATTAGCGGCGGCATGCTTGGGAGGAGGCTTAGTTTGTGCTTCTACACCTCCATTGTGCTGTGGATCAATAGTGTATGGACCTGGACGACTCATGCCAGGGGAGTGCATCTGTGATGATCGAACAACCAGAGAGGGACAGTGACTTGGGTCACCGCCGCCACTCGGAGTGGTAAGGACTGTTTGAGGTATCTCACTAAATTGTGAGATTTCATCTTCAATTATCTGTACAGTTTCTGCAGGAACAGTGGTAGAGTCATCAGGAGGGGGTCCGTACGTCTCTAAAGCTGCAACATCCGATGTCTTGACAACAAATGGGGTCAGCGTAGTTTGACGCTCGTTCGAAAGGCAGTCTTGTTTCTTCGTAGTATCATTGGAAGCGCCTTTCTTTCTGGGGTTTTGAAGATTCTTTCCTGTTCCGCTAGTCTTGAACTTTTTACTGAACCCTAGTTTCCGCGCAGGAGGGTTTTTGATTTTCTTGACCGCATAGGTACACGGCCCAGACCACTTGGTGGCGACATCTGGAGTACGAAATAAGAAACCGCAGATGCGATCTCCTTCCCTGATTTTGGAGTCATCAATGTAATGTAGTCCTACAGCATTGTTGTAACATAAGAATTTGCTTTTCGGTCCTTCATTTTCAAGCACATAGAAATGTTCAGCAGGTTGTTGGTCACCATTCAATGGGTCATGACCTTGATGTATTATCAACGCAACACATTGCCAGGAGTAACCACTGGAAAAGAGAGAATCTTTTCCCAGGAAGTTTCTATAGGTGTTTGCTGGTGGGTGGGATTCTCTGATATATTGCAGCCATACTAAACGGCTAGCAGCACTGGTGTTAACTAGAAAGTTGCTAGAGGAAGCACACTCGTTGCAGTACTGCTGCTCACTAGTTGTGTCGCTGAGCAATAACCTGTCTGTCCATGGCGCTGCAGAGTTGAAAAAGTCATGCCCAAGTGCGTTCTGTGGCAGTGGCTGCAAGACAAAGAAAGTCGATACAAAATGTGATGAGCTAACTCCACAAACGCCACAGTCAAAGGTAACCAAGGAACAGATTTTCTGCAGGAACGGTGCAGAGAGATTGACTGCCATTGAATCGAAGGTACGTTGTACTTCTCCATGTACTTGTTTTGGAAGGGCGCACATTGCTAGCGCTAAATGAAAGGGCCCAAAATTGCGGTTGCGCAAATTAACAGCAGTGGTCCACCCTTGGGCAACGGCTTTCATCGCTTGATGAACGATGTGGTCCTCAAATTCAACTTTTATGCTCCAGTCTGCCTTAGAAAGTATTCTCAACGCAGTAGTATAGAAGCAGGCTGTGGCATTGAGGTTGTCATAGATAACTGCAGCTTGTTTGTGGTCTTGTTCGTCAAACGCCATACTAGTTAGCGAAGCATCACGCGAGACAATTTGTTTGAGGGTATGCACGTGCGTGAGCTGTCTTTGTTCTTCAAATGAAAGGGTTGCAGGCGGGATTACACGGTCAGGTAGTCCCCTCGGGGCTATGCCATTGCTTGCAGCAACGTCACCAGTGGTGGTACAAGCTGTACCGTTGGCAGGAGGGCTTTCCTCAATGAGATCAACAGCACTATCCTCAATTACTTGGCCATCCTGGATAGGAAATTGAGCTACTAGGGCCGCAACCCTTTCAGCATCTGACATCTGAACTTCTTGAATGAGACTGGCATCGAGCCGAGCATCAACTTCTTGACTGTGTTGACTATTTTGCATACTGGTGGTATTACCAGGAAGCAGAGAGGGCGCAGCTGAGTAGTCAGCAAGCTGTTTACTTAGCTCATCTATGATTTTCAACTCCTGCGATTCTTCTAGCATCGAGCTAGCATCAATAGCCGTGAGCGGGGAGGGAGTCACTACAGACAATTCAGCAGGATCTTCAACATCTGTAGAGGAAGGTTGTTCAATGAAAGGAGTTTCTTGTTCAAAGTACTTCTGAACTTTGTAATTGTCATGCATTTGACAGTCCCCACTAGAGTCTTGATCAATGGATGGCTCTGGAACGGCAGTTGCAACGATAGCTGGGTTGATAATCTGCTGATCGCCATTTTCCTGATTTCGCAGGAGCAAAGCTTGTAGATTACGTTTGCCACGTGTGATGTCTGATTGTTCTTGCTGATTACTATTGGGATGTTCTGATTTGATTTGTTCATCGTCGCCATCATCTGCACTGGGAAGCTTGGGGATTGGCACTTTCCGAATTAGCGCATCCAGTGTATCCTGATTGCGTTTGTTGATTGTAACTGTCGAAGGAATGTCGGCACCTAGAGTCGATGAAGAAAGTTGCTTGCTGGCAACTATTGGGGCCTTGGTATTAGCGGGACCTTCAGAAGAACGTTGCGATATATCTTGAGCAACTGAAGGCGAAGTCCAACCTGGCGGACGGACCTTCCCGTCTTTTTTTCAGAGGTCAAGAGCTTGGGGGCCGTTTGGACTCCTCCTGATCCCGGCGTGGAAGGGCCCACCACCACCTCTGCACCCATGTTCGGCGCTCTGAAGCAGCGGGGGGAGACTTCTCGGGTGAGAACTCACTCCCAGATGTGGGTGTCAACACCTTGAGTGGGCAGCGCCGCGTTCACAACGAAAGACCTCGAGCGCCCGCAAGAGGGAAAAATGCTGTCGGGTAAAGCGGTTCGGGAATATTCGCAGTTTGTGCCTTGGCACTAAAGTGAATGTTTCAGTGGCAGAACCGACCCGTGGCCATTTTGGCCACAAGCTCACCCGTTCTCCAGTGCTGTTTTTCCCACCACCACCCACCCCAAGAATGCTCTGGGTGTCGACTTCTCGGGTGAGAACTCACAGGTGCAGGTCCACAGCGGGAACGCATGGGTCCGAGATGTGGATAGCCTTACGCATGAGTCCAAGATGTGGATATCAACACCTTGAGTGGGTATAGCGCCGCGTTCCCTTGGCCCTAAGCCAACGAAAGACCTCGAGCGCCCGCAAGAAGGAAAAATGCTGTCGGGTGAAGCGGTTGGGAACATTCAACAGAAACCCTCTAATCACAATGGAGCATGATCCAAGCATGATCCGACCATGATCCGACCATGACCCGAGACCGTCTCGCAACCGTCGAACCTCGAAGCTTCCCCGAGGTTCGGAGAAGCATGGAGGTTCACTTTAAAGTGCTGTGCCTGTCACGAAATCTGCGCATGGAGCTTCGTGCCTGCCACGAAATCTGCGCATGGAGGTTCACAAAGTACGCGCCTGCCACGCAAGCATATGGGTTCACAAGGTGCTGTGCCTGCCACGAAATCTGCACTTCGAGAAACAACTGAAACCTCCAATCACAATGGAGCGATTCCGAGCATGATCCCACCATGATCCGACCATGACCCGAGACCGTCTGCAACCGTCGTTCCGCGGAGCTTCCCCGTCGAGGTCGGAAGTGCTGTGCCTGCCACGAAAATCTGCGCATGGAGGTTCGCAAAGCGTTGCGCCTGCCACGACTGCGCATCAAGGTTCACAAAGCTCTGCACATGGAGGTTCACAAAGTGCTGTGCCTGCCACGAAATCTGCACATGGAGGTTCATAAGGTGCTGTGCCTGCCACGTAAACTGGAGCTAGAGCCATTGAAACTAGAGCTAACTGGAGCTAGAGCTCTTGAAACTAGAGCTACCTGGAGCTAGAGCCATTGAAACTAGAGCTACCTGGAGCTAGCGCTACCGAAACTAGAGCTACCTGGAGCTAGAGCTCTTGCAACTAGAGCGAACTGGAGCTAGAGCTCTTGAAACTAGAACTAACTGGATGATGAGTGGTGTATGTTAAGTGGTGCATGAGGAGTGGTGTATGATGAGTGGTGTATAATGAGTGGTGTATGATGAGTGGTGTATGATGAGTGGTGTTTGATGAG